TCAGACCACAGGGCTGGTTTTTGGTTCTCATTGTGGTTTTCTTTTTTCCCTTTCATTTTGGATATTGGTTAAGACTCAGAGACCAAACTGTTTTTTAGGCTTCATTCCATTCTGTTTCAAACAGCAGCCACAGATTTGTCTGGGGCATCCGGTGAGTCCCCATGGAAGTCGTCATTGATGACTGTGTTGGTTACTGCTGAACGGAAGACCAGGGGGTGGAGCAGGCTGCCACATGGGTGTCTCTGCAGGTGTGGCCATGGCACCCCCAACAGATCTTGCCCTGAAGGCAGTCGGGGGCTGACCTGCAGTGAGACAGGTCGCCTGGCGGCTCTGCTTTAGGACAGGTACTTGGGGGAACAGGTAGACTCAAGCCGTCCCCCTGCCTCTCACTAGTTGCCAAAATTAAGAGGATTTCCCAGGGACGGAGCCTTTCTGAGCATTCTCCTTCTGGGAGAGCTGCCTCCTTCTCCTCCTCTGTGTCTCCCAGAGGGTCCCAGGGTTTTCATTTGCTCTGTTCTGCTTCTCTCAGCCTCTAGTGCTCACCCTGTCCTCCCCTGAATCTGTCTTAGAGAGCAGGTCTCAGGTTTTTGCCACTGTCCACTGCTCAGTGTGACAGGCGTGGGACGGGAGGGGCTGACTAGCTGACCTGACATCACCTTCTTCTACCCTCTGTGCTTGCCAATGAGTGCTGAGCCGGGGCTGTGTCCAGTCAGACATCCTGTCCCTATCTGCTTTCTAGTGTCCAGGAATTCCTAAAACTTCCTGGTCTACAAATAGTACTAGTTTGATGTTCGTGGTGATGGCTTTGCTTGTTTGTTTCCCAGTGCTACTTTGCATGTTAATACAGCTTTTGTGTCAAATCATGAGCATGGCAGACAAAAATCTGGCCAAAAAGGGGGCCCAGCCCAACAGGTACTATCTGTTGGTGTTGGATGGACCTTCACTGATCTTGACATACTTAGACAGAATAACTTCAGCTGGTGTAAGATGGTAACTTGTTCCTCACAACTGGATGAATAAATGTATAATCTTAAGGAAAATGTACCCCTTCTGTCATTTTAAGAGACTTGAAGTAAGAGGTGAGGTCCATCATTTTCATCTTCTCCCCTCCCTCTATCAATAATTAACTATTTGCCATGACACAAATGCATCTTGTATCAAAAGTGAGTCATGTCATGGATACCGTGTCCTACTTAACTTCAGTGGGAAGAATAAGAACATAAGCCCCCATTTTTCTCAGGCCATAAAATGAGAACTGGCCCGTGACACTGCTGCCATCTTCCTCGGGCAGACCCTGAATTCAGCATGAATTATAATGAGAGTTATTGAGCACACCCCCCCCCAATAATAATGCCAGGCTGTATTTGTGCTATATTTCTAATATATACACTTCATGTATATTAACTCATTTGACCTTTACAACAATCCTATGTATTATTCTCATTTTACAGATGCAGAAACAAGGCATGAGATTAGTTGGCCAACTAGGAAGTTCATGATTTAGATCTCAAATCCAGTTTCTGCTTCCAATCCAGTACCCTGTGCACTACGAGATATCACTTTTCTTGGGAAGAGCTGTCTAGGGTTATTGATATTTAAGCAAATAACATTTATCACAGTATGCTATAATTATCATAGCAGTAGGACCATATGCTATGGAAGAATAAAGGTTGGAGAAAATTGGAGAGATGACATCTGAAATGGGCTTGAGGCAGAAAAAAATGTCTTAGGCAAAGATAGGAGCATGCAAAAAGTCTTGGAAGCATGAAAATGCTTAGCATGTTTGGGGAATGGAAAGATGCCTGGTATAGCTGGGACAGAGAATGTGGCTATCAGGGAAGGTGTTGAAGAGAGGGGAGATAGATGTGTCTGGAAAAGTAAATCAAGGTCTGCTTTTACGGAGCCTTGTGTGATGATAGGAGAGTACTTCCAGATAGATTGAGCTGGTGGTACTTTGGGTCATCTCTGAACAGATGGCCAGGAAGCCACTGGAGCTCAGGAAAGAGGGCTATTTGGAGATAAAGATTTAGGTCTCATAATTATCTAGATGGAAGTTGGGGATTTTTCCCAGGGAGAAAAGGTAGAACAAGGCTTTTCGGGCAGAACACAATGCAAGAGGTGGACGAAAGAACAACAAACAGAAAAGACATTGAGAAGAAATGTTCAGAAAAGCAGGAAGGGAGCCAGGAGGGCAGGAACATGGGGGAGGAGAGAGCTTCAGAGCTCAATGGAGGAGGGCAGTGGGGTAATGGAATATGTTTCAAAAAGAGCTTGAATTTTGCCATCTTTAGGTCTCTTCCCCCACACTTGGGTGCAGGTCCTAAGACTAACTGTAATGGCTCAAAGGTCAGCCTTGAACTATTAATACTATGTCAAATTTTTAGTATATGGCATTGAAGGTCTGACAGTTCTTCATCGTGTTTCAAATCTTAGATGAAATACAATTATTTTTATTACATTGAGATTTGTAGATTCTAAAGGCAGCATTTTTTAAAAAATCCATGAGAGTTGATCAATACAGATTTCAAATTGATTTTATATAAGCACTCTTCCTATATTGGCAGAGGTCTGCTCCCAAAGTTCCAACTTTGAATCTGTCAACATTTTAGAGGTAAATTCTAAGCCTTTGTTTCCCCAGCTAAATTTTTCTCCTCCTATGATAACAGTCTGGCCCATGGAGGTGAGAATGAGACTTGGTGACTGTTTTCTCTTTTAGCCAAGCTTCTAGGAGAGTTCCATGCTGTTTGTGGCTGATGTCAAGTAGCAAGAACAGCAGGGCTGCTCCTCAGGCTGAAAAGCCATAATCCTATTATGCCTACCTCAAGACTTTCACATTAGCTGCCTTTATAGTAGTAGATGGAAAGGTGACTTGATTGACTTTTAAATCCCCAAGGGTCCTAGTTTCAAAATCCCCATGTCTAAGTCAAGTAGTAGATGAGGCCTCTTGCTGAGAAGGCCTGGCTCCTTTGGAGCCCCTGTGGCCACAGCTTGTCTTCAGTGTCTACATGGGTCCCATACTTTCTGGGTTCCAACATTAAGCACTAGATTGGTGTGCAGTTGTGTCCTTCAGTGGTGATCCTTAGCAGGCGATGAACCTGGCTGCATCTCCCGGGTCATGGATTAGTATCTGTCTTTGTACAGTCAGGATTAGGAAATATATCCCCCATTGATTCTGTAAGAGAAGTATATTCTTTTATTCATGTTAAAGCTGTCCTTGTAAAGGTAAGGGGCAAGATAAGTTTTCTTCCTCCAATTAGTCCCTTCTACATCTGTCATCGTCCCTGTATTATAATATGGTTGCAGAATTATTTAATCCAATTAAATATTTTTATAATGTTTACAATTCAGTGTTTATTATTCAGAGTACTTATCTAAAATTGACTAAGTTTCAGATGTAATTTGCTAGGCCAAATGTCATACTTTATTTGTAAGTTTGTTTAACTTCTTTGCAAGTGTTGGAGTTTTGAATATCACTTTGCTGGATTTTTTTTTTAATTTTTTATTTTTATTTCGGCATATTATGGGGGTACAGATTTTAAGGTTTCAATAAATGCTCATTTCCCCCCCTCCCCCCACAAGTCTGAGTCTCCATCATGACCATCCCCCAGATGGTGCACATCTCACTTACGATCTTCACATTTGCTGCTTCCATTAGCTCTCATAACATCTTTCTCAGGAAGGTGTTGTCCTCAGTTTTCAGTTGAGACTAAGACTTTGATGCCACATGGCTTGTAAACTGAATGTGAGTTTGAACTGGGAACTTGATCGCCAGACTCTAAACCCAGTGCTCTGCTCAGTACACCAACACTCCTTGAATTCATTTGACCAAGGAACACTTTTTAAATGATAATGTAATAATAGTACATCATCAGTAGCTCATTAAGATTTTAATGTTTCCTATTGAATATTATAAATTGTTGGAATTTTAGGATAAAAGGCATAAAATAGACTAATAGTTATATAATAGGTAATGTTCATGCCTATAGCAATTAGCTGAGAGTAATTGCTGCCTATCCATCAATGTATAGATCGTTTCTCATTTGACTTCCTCATTAGTTTGTTTTTAAGTTTCAAAAATGTATTAGTTAGGGTTTCTTACATTGCAGAGAGCAAAAAAAAAAAAATTTCAAATTACTGGCCAATCATATCTTACCATTATAAATAACCATATAATTAAACACTATTAATGTATTCCAAAATAATTATAGATATGAAAAGTGATTAGGAATCTACTCAGTCTTCCAATGCCAAAAATGCTCGTAACACCATTCCTTAAAAGCACATTATTGGATACGGGTCTTATAATAAATTTTCAAGTAAAAACACTTGATATAAACTGATTAATGTCTCACAGACAGTAGTGATCCATGGAACAGAGTTTGGGAAATGTGGACATACACCCTTTCTCACTACTACTTGCCTTCTCCTCATCTTATGCCCTCACCTCCTCAGGGCCGGGTAAGAAAAGCTGAGTCTGTATGCATCCTATATTTGAATCCTCTGGAAAAAGCAAATTATATAACCCAAGATAACAGTGACAGAAGCATTATTATTCTGCTAGGCTAAGATATCACACAGGATCCTAAGGAATTTGGATCAATTGTCAAGTTGTTTAAATCAATTGTTTCTATTGGTGCTAAAAGACAAGTTTTGTCATTGATTAAGGTGGTAATGAAAAGCAGATTTTTAGAGCAATCATCTACAAAGTGAGAGATAACTTAGTCAATTGCAGCGTGGATGGGGACGCTCTTCCCTCCACTGAGACTGGAAGAGAAGGGGTCCTGTGCACTTCAGCTTTCTCTCGTGCCCTTCCATGAAGAAACTTGTTCATTTCAAAAATCCCTGTAGGGGTTATCATGGCACAATTGCTCCCTCTGCCCATATCTTTTTATGTAGAAGAAGTCCCTGAGTATGTTACCGACCCCTGAACCCAGTTCCATATTTGAAGCCTCAGTGATGACCGTTTTTTCATTATTTCCTCTTTACTTTGTTCTTTATAGACCTGGCCAGAGGACGGTGGACGACCTGGAGATCATCTATGAAGAGCTCCTTCATATCAAAGCTTTATCCCATCTGTCTACCACAGTGAGTGGTCTCTCAGTTGAGCATGGTTGGGGGACTTTGAGTTAAACGCACTGTCAGGACAGGAGGAGAGTATTATGGTATGGCGGGGGTGGGTAGGAATGCCTGAATTCTACCTCCTAAATCACCTCTGCTAAGGAAGTTACACCCAAGAACAGTCACCAAAAGGGGATCAAGTATTATCATGTTATTAGACCTAAACCCCAAAGCAGCCTGATGTGAGTGGGAGGGGAACATCCTTCTATATGTGAATTTTGGAACCTGCACACTCAGACAAGAGTGCCAGGCCTTGGGAGGGGCTCTGAATCCCTGCCATGATATATGGAACCAGAGGGAGAAAGAAGAGAAATCTAGATGCCCTATTCCGCATCAAGGGCCAACTCCACCAAGGTTTGCTGCCCTATTGAAAAAGGAAGCAGAAAGTTCAGGAGAGCATCAGGTCGATTATGTTACGGCACAATATCACTACCTACTGATACAAAGTGACCCAATGACTGTAGCTGATTCTGAACTTTTACCTAATTAGGGTATTTGGGAAACAGAAATTTTGACATCTGACTAGGGATAGAAGCACCTTCTCCTATAGAACTATGATTTTGAGGCAACACACATCTCCTACATGCTAATAATTCAAGAAGGAGGTGGTTTGGACTTTCACAGATTATATTCTGAGGCCCCTAAGAAACATCTACACTTATCTTTTATTCCCAGCTCACTCAAGGTGATGCTGCTATTTCACAGTGGCAGAACCTGCCCTGGAAGCTTGCTCACCTGCATGGACTATCCAGGGGAGGGCCCAGCCCGCCTCCCCGCCCACCCACCACTGCCCTTGTCACCCTCACTCTCTCCATGGTGGAGCAGGTCTAGTGCCTGGGAGCCTCACCTGGGGAGCCCCAGCACAGAGAGGGCAAGCACTTGAGGCTCCACGGGCTCGCAATGTGAGCGAAGTAAGGGAAGACCCCCTCTCCCTGCCTGCGCTCTGGGTACGCAGCATGCTCTGTTCTGACTTCCCCAGTCTCAGTGGAATGGAGCAAATTGTGGGTCATCTCCTCTTCTAACCCAAAGTCCAGGTACCCAGGCAGTGTGGAGAATTCTCAGATGCCTGGTTCTCAGGGAGATAGAGCCATCATTTGGGACCATACTTTAGATTTTTTTTAAAAAAAATTAGAATTTTAGCTATCTAGGAATAATTTGGAATTTTAGCTATCTAAAAATATAAATTTTCTCATTCATTTAAATTTAACTATTCAACATCAAGACTTTGAATTTTATAACATGTTTTCAGTTATGCATTGTATGTGATGCAGGGAAGAGCAAAAGACTCATATGATGTCGATGGTCTCACCTCACCCAAGGCCAAAGATAGGTAGACAAGTTGGCTAGCTAATGCACATGGGACCGTGTTTTAAACAGGCTCTAAGGAGGTTGTCTGGTATGAAATGGCTATAAGCTATTCTATAAAAATAACTTTTGTATGAGCTTTAAAAACCTGGTGGCAAATCCAGTGAGAGTGGTTCTAGATGAGCGTAGCAGCAGCAAGTGACTCGAGAACGACTGTGCAGGAAGCCAGGGGACAGTCCACACCGTGCTCAAGAAAGAGCACAAGTCTCTTCCCCTAGGCCTCCAGATCTAGCCTTTCCACCTCTTTCTGTTTTTCTTCCAGGTGAAACGGGAGTTAGCAGGCGTTCTCATTTTCGAGTCTCACGCCAAAGGAGGAACAGTGTGTAAGTGAAAGCTGTCCTGGGACCTCGCCTGGCCGGCCCACTCGCCAGCACAGGCCGTGAGAACCCAGACTGCAAATGCTCAGCTTCTTAGCCAGGGTCTGACTTGGCAGAGCGTCCTGTGGCACTTTCATTGCTCTGCACCTGTGACTATTTCCTGCACATGTCGATTTTTCTGAAATATGGTGGTTTGTTAGAACCAGCAAGTGCAGGGGGTGCCAGCCTGAGTCTCACTCATTGTCTACCCTTCTGGCTCAAGGCAGTGTTTAAGGAGGGTGGAAGTTGCTCTTCTTCAGGCTGGGCCCGAGGCTGTGCCTTTCCCAGTGACCTCGCTCCAGTATGTGGCTTTAGGAGAACTAATCTGTCTCTGGAGGTTGCCCGTTAGAATGGTATTTGAACTTTGCTGCTTTCTTTTCTTCTCTCACTTCCACTAGAGGCTCCAGGCCTGAGAGAATTTCTTTGCCCCAAATACTTATGCAGCATTTGATATTTTTTATTTTTATGGTTGCCAATGACTTATTCTTTATTCTCTTATTTTTTGTTTTCTTTCAAACTTATTAGTTGTCTTCATTTTATTATAAAATATTTAAATATTTCAAACAAAAAATTCGAGAATATTACAAACACCATTTCAGTTTTTATCAAACACAAACATTATGCTATTTTTTCGTGTTTGCTAAAGAATGAAATTATACATTTACAGTTGAAGTCTCCTTATTCCCTCCTTTATCCCATTCTTCTCATTCCCTCCCCAAGGTAACTCCTACCTGAATGTAGTGGTTATCATTCCAACTTATTTTTTAAAAAATATAGTCGGTCCTCTGTATCCATGGATGGGTTCACACTGGTGGATTCAACCAACTAAGAATAAAACATTTGAAAAAAAAATGGGTAGTTGCATCCATACTGAATATGTAGAGACTTTTTTTCCTTGTCATTATTCACTAAATAATGTAGTAGAACAACTGTTAATATTTACATAGGAATTACATTGCATTAGGTATTATAAGTAATCTAGAAAATACTTAAACGGGAGGATATGCGTAGGCTATATGCAAATACTGCACCATGGATTTGCACATCTGTGGATTTTGGTACCCGTGGGAGATCCTGGGGCAAATTCCCCATGGATACACCACTGTACGTAGGTATGTATCTATAAACGTCATGTAGTGCTGACTTGCATGTTTTTAAATATCACAATACTGGTCAGATTACTTTTAAAAACTATTTTTCCATGGCATAAATTCTGGTGAAATGTAGGGGAAATGTGTATGGCTTTAAGAAATGGATCACTGCTAAATTGATATCTAGTAAAAAACCTGTCTTTTGGGGCATAACAAGGAGTGCAGTGTTTCTCTTTCTTTCATTTTCTATAAAAAAAAAGGAAATAACACGCCACCTGAATAAGTTAGTATTTGCCAGTGCTTTTTTTCATATTATGTATTTATAATTCTGGGGACTTAAAATGATGATTTGATAAGCTGTAATTTATATTGATGTGCTTCTATTCTTATCATAAGTCTTTTCATCTTTTTGTGTCTAGTGTTTAACCAGGGGGAAGAAGGTACCTCTTGGTACATTATTCTAAAGGGATCAGTGAATGTAGTCATTTACGGCAAGGTATATATATCTTTTTCTTTTTGAAACTTTATTACGCTCCATTTACTAGTGTGGCTTTAAGTATTAGCAATGTAGTGCTATAATTAACCTTGCAACAACATTGTTACTGGATGTAGAAAAGGCATTATTGCGTCTTTAATCATAAATTATCTCGATTATTTATACTTGAAGTAGTATTGCACTTTCTGGGGCTTGTCTGCTTATGGATTATAGTGTACACCTGTAAGTTAGGCCATAGACCACACTACTCAATGAGAAAAGACTGAAACACTATAATGGAATTCTAGAATCCCTGTGGCACCCCTAGGTACAGCCTGTTTATACCTATAGTGTTTTAGGGGAAAGGGGGTTTTGCGGTGAGAGTTGGTGGGTGTCTGCTCCATTTCAGGGATCATCTTCATCTGAATGCCCTGCTCTTTCCAGGGTGTGGTCTGCACCCTGCACGAAGGAGACGACTTTGGCAAGTTAGCGCTAGTGAATGACGCCCCCCGAGCTGCCTCCATCGTCTTGCGAGAAGATAACTGCCATTTCTTAAGAGTAGACAAGGAGGATTTCAACCGGATCCTGAGGGTGAGTCCAAAGCAATGTGTGGATAAAGGACACCCCATTTTCCCTTTTGCCAAATGAGTGAAGATTTGCACTCGGTGTTAACGGAGCAGTCCTGTGATGAATGAGTGCTCTAGGAGCAAAGGGCTTTGTTGCAGAGCTGGCTTGTTCGCTGTGCTGGTTTGCATTCTGGGACGCGGAGGTGATGTTCCGGTAAAGCTGCAAGTGTAGAATGTTAGTTAGGCTGGGCCAGGTCCCTCTGCACATGCCTGTACTGGTTCGTGAGCACTGATGGTGAATAGAGACTGCCTTGGCAAAACATCACAGTCTGAGAAGCTTGTCTCGGACACCCTGGCCATCCCTTTCTGTGTCCTTCTGCATTCTCATCTCCTACAGAGTGGCAGCCCCTCCAGCCTCGTGTCTTTCTCTAGCCTAGACTTTCCTCGTCTCCACCTCCCATCTCTTCCCAAATCGGAACCTTTCTCACATCATCACACACACTCTTGATTTATTGAGTGATTACATTTTAGAGGGAATTAATGTCAATCGTGGTCGCTCCAACCAAGCATTTTCACTTTCAAGTTCTTTATCTCAAATTGTTTCAAATGAAAGGAATTTCAGACACTGGCAAGTAGAATAATCAAGGTGGTAGAGGGAGTCGTGCAACTGCACTTAGAAGTTGACTCTGAAGGTGACCCTACTCTGAGCTCGTGAAGGGATTGTGGGAGTGGTGATAGGTAGACGAGATGGTCCCTGGTCTCTCCCCACCACACAGACCCTGGTCCCCTGGGAGGGATGACCCAGCTTCAGCTAGTAGAGTCCTGATGATGGACTGCTGGGGATGATGACAATGTCCCATCACCCCTGGCCTCTCGGGTGGCCTGTGGTCCTTCCCACCCTTGCTGGAGTTCCCCCACGAGGTCTTTCTCTCTAGGATCGCCCTGTCCTCCTCCCTACCCTGCTGAGACATAGCAGGCTCCCTTCTCTGCCTCTTGCAAATTAGCATCTTTCTCTGCCCCATCCTAAAGTCCTAAATGTAGCGTTTGTGCTTTCTGGTGCATTTCCATTATTTAATGATGATTTACAACAGCATTCTCCTGTCCATATGTATGGACGTCTGTCCCTGTGCATCCTTAAGCGTTTGCCTTTGGCGGCAAAATTTCTAACAACAAAGTTTGTCTTAGGAATGCAGTGTATTAAGGCAAAGAAAGTTAAATTAAAATGTATACCATTGAATGATATTAAAAAAAAAACCACATGGAATTTGACTTGGTTCTTATCTGATATCTTTTAAAATGGGGGCCGAGTATTGCGGGAAAGCACATGCAAATTTTTTAATTAATTATTTAAAATGATATTGAAGTTTAAAGGTGAACTCTACTAACTCTTTGACATTTACACACAAGGAGTTTACACTCAGCCAAAAAATTCTTTGAAAGAATCAGATTGGGACCATTGATGTAATATATAAAATCACTTAAAATAACTGAAAAGGGTTCCTAACACGGTTCAAACAGATTTTTTTTAAAAAAAAAAAAGTCTTTTGATTAGAAAGGTGCCACACTTCTAAGGAAACTAAATACACTCAGAAGAAAAAAGAACTTTGTGAAGCTGAGTGCTATTTTCCACATATTTTTATAAAGAATAAATGCCTTTGCTCCCTTACTTTCCTGCTATACCATCCTCTTTCACAGGTTTCTCAGAGGGTAATCACACTACTCTCTACTCTGCTGTTTTTCTGAAGAAAGGGTAAAAGCAGATTTTAAAAACACATGTCTCAAACCTCATCTGGTCCTCTCTCTGACCGTTCCAGCCCTTGACTTTGAAAATGACTTAATTTGTAGACGCAACAATTAGCATCACAAGCACCAAATGAGTTTCTGAAGCATTTTAAATTTTTTTCATTGTCTGAGTAAATGGCAGCATCTGTATGTGGTGTAATTTGTATTTGCAGGACGTTGAGGCGAATACAGTCAGACTTAAAGAACATGACCAAGACGTCTTGGTGCTGGAGAAGGTCCCAGCAGGGAACAGAGCTTCTAATCAAGGAAACTCACAGCCTCAGCAAAAGTATGTTTGCATCCAACACTGTAATTGCCAGACTACGATTAACCTTTTCACATGGTATCATCATTTCTACAATAGCATGTTCTCCTTTTTTGTGGAAGACGGCAGTGTGTGTGACTTTTTTTCTCTCTATTGACTAATCACACATCTTGTGGAGTATAATGTATCCATTTCTGGCACTGCATTGAGCTTGGTGCTGGCTAGAGTAATTCTGGAGAGAATATTCCTCTACTCTAAAAACCACTCTCTGTACACAGCGTTCAACTGTAATAGCTTTGAAACAGAAGGCACGTGAGAGAACAATGGGAACAGGAATGCCAGGCAGCTCAAAGGATACGTGGGCCCCCAGGTGATGAGAACCTTTGGTATTTGCATTTCATATGTAGGATTTCACATAAAGTGGTTATCTTGTTATCAGAATGAGAGTCTGATGGACACCAGATTTCAAATATGAAACAATCTGTTGATTGCAGCCTAGTAGCATCCATTCGGCCTTATTCATACTTATTCCTGCTAATGTCAAAGGGCATTTGCTTCTCATTTCTCAGGCCTCCTGTTTAACATGAGTGTTTTTCAGTTTATGTATGCTGAGTTCCAGCCTTTGCTGAAACTTCCTACGTAGGACTTTTTCATCAAATGTGCCCATGTTGGAGTGGTAAGACAGAAGAATGGGAAATGTGGCTCTAAGAAATCACAGAAAATTGCAGAATCTAGTTTTTAAAATGGAGATTAATTTTCAAGCATAGTGGAATAAAAACACCAATTCTGTAGCTAAAGAAATGTCACCAAATAATATGTTGAAAGAGAATGCATCTCAAGTAATTTTCCTATTTGCCAAATAAGTGGAGTGTTCCCTTTATCAAAACATTCATCGTAACTGATGAATTTTTAGTGTTTGGACTAAAAGCCTAAGGCTCAGGCATTTGCATCCTGATGAATCAACATCTTTGCAAAGAGGGCAAGAAGAAATATGGTATTATTAAATAGTCATAGTATATTTTGCAGATTTTATCAAATCCTTAATAACCCCTTTTAAAAGATGGAGAAAGTTAGGGTCAGAGAGGCAAGTTACTGGGCCAAGGTCTCAAAGCTTGCAACAGTAGAGCATGGATTCACGTCTAGCTTGGTCAACTTTCACACCTATGCTCCTTCTTCCTCCCAGCTTACTGTAGCATAATACAGTGTATAACACATACATCCTCTGCACTATGTAGTAAATGTTGTAAGCCAGTATATTTCAAAAAAGCTGACTATAAAAAGGACTATATAAAAAGCTACTTTTCACTTACAAAACTATAAAATTACCATCGAAATTTCTTGATTTCTCTATCTTTTACCACTGCCCATTCTTGAAATGTCCTGGCTCAAATGTTTCTAACAGTTGTCCCTCCAGCCCACTGAGGAGGGTAAGAATGAAAACTTTTTATGTGAAGTTTGGGGCTGATATTCTTTGGTGCCCTTAGAAAATAACTAGACCATTTTATAGGCTTAATCTGCATTCTTTAATAATGCTTCAGATGTCTCAGGAAAATGACGCTAACTGAAAACAGAAGCCTGAGAATTCATCTTAACCTGGAAACATTTGATCTGGAGGTCTCCTGGGGGTCCTCTTGCTTCACCTCTTCATACCACTGGGGAATGATCAAAAGCATTTGCTTATTACAACAGCTTCCGTTCAGGGTGTGCTCCAATGTGTGTTTCTTATGAAATCAAACTAAAGAGTATAGAAAATGAGAAACCATGTGTATTAAATGTATGTTAGGCCTGTGTGTGATTTTCCATCACAGCCCCTAATTTGTGTCCTGTAGTCTCATCTGAATTTCTTATATAATTCAAAAACTTGTACATATTTGTAGTAAAACCATTTAAGGAATATCAGTGAGTACAAAGTAAGGCACCGAGCAAAGTGATTTCCCTGAAAAAATGAAAAACTGCTCTCTCAAGGGGTCTTTTTCCATGTTGCACTTTCCCAAATGAGACCAGAGTTGGTTGAAGTGGGGCAGCATGGAAATGAATTTGGGGCTGATGTTCTGGACAACTTCCTTAACATGGCATCAACAATGTCTGTGCGTGGACGTAAAATTTAGGAAGCTCTAAGGCTTCTCCTCAGAAATTGTCCCTTATGAGCTTAAAGAAGGTCACCATGTTGGTGCTGCTAATAATATTATTTTTCCAATTCACTTGTTCCCTAAGAAATCCAGAATAGTTTATGTATACATTTTAAACTCTCAAAACTGCCAGACTCTGCCCAAACCTTTCAACTCTGAGTGTGATATTAAAATATCAATAAGAAAACAGCATTTGTCATGTTGGGTAAATCAGATGGAGCCCTCAAACATTTACCATTTCAGGTATCTTTCTGCTCTGTGGTTATGTGGGTTCAGTAAGAATGAAAGAATTTGAAATGATTATCATATGTTGGTGACTGTGTTGCTTTTTTCTTAGTGTTTTCTCGTTGCTCAACTCCATCTTGTTGGCATGAAGATAGTCTCTTTCAGGTCTCCTCCCCGACCATTTTCTGTTCTAGGTGCAGATAGAAGTGTCCTCATTTGCAGGTTTGGTGCTGGGAAAAGACTTTTTGTCACAAGTTAAAAACTTCATAGCTTACGTAATGTAACCCATTCAGGCTCTCTTTTAATGTGGACTCAAGTAGCTCTTTCATGTGATAAACTGAAAAGAGACATGCTGTCTGGTCTTCAAGTGGCCTTGACCTTATTTAAACAGAGGTCAAGCAGTAGCTGCCTGGCAGTGTCCAGTGTGAAACGAAGCCATCATGTCATGTTTCAGCCAGACCCAGCACCCCAAGACCCCAGAGGGCTGTGGCCAGACTTCAATTCTGTGGCCAGAATTCAACTTTTGATGAGGAAACACATTTTGTATTGATGTATCAGTTGTGTAGCTTGCTACAGAGCCTCAGCTATGAGCAATAGCTACCCAACACCATATGAAGTTCCCCCCTTCAGTTTTCATGTTATGTAATATATTTATACTTTTATTTAAACAAAACCCATTTTCAGAAACAAGCAAACAGAAAAGCCCTCTTTAGAGGAAGGTTTCCAATTACATGGAGAATTTCCTGTTCAGGATAAGCTCCGGTTAACTAGAACTCGTCTCCGTCCAGAGTGTCTTGTGGACAGGCAGAAAAGTGCCACGAGACACATGCTGGTTCTCCGAAGCCAGGCAGACCTGGCTCATGTCAGAGATCTCCCGTTTACTAACTCTGCGCCCTTAGGCACGATGCCTCCCCTTGCTGAGCAGTTTCTCCATCTGCACGATGAAGATAATATTTAACTAGCAGGAGTAAACAGGACGGTCTTATTCAGTGCTCACCTTTACTAGGCGGGCCTAGTGTCTGGGGCCTAGTAAAGACTCGACAGATGTCGAATGCTCTCTAACCCCATTTCCTGATGCATGTGGCCGGATGCCACTCCTCTTCCAGCTCATCTGGTGAGCGCTATCAATGCATCATGTATTTCAGGAATTGCTGAATGAACTGAGCAGTATTCTCCATTTAAGTGTTGAAAGTCATTTGTAGATACACCGTCTCCTTTCCTCAAATATTCATTGCTTACAGGAAGAAAAACCATTGTCTTCTACATTATTTATTTTGAGGAAAGGGTCATACATTTGAGATAAAAGTAGGCTATTTTTTTTTTCTATTTCCCCACCCCGCTCCTCTAGTTTCTAAAGGCAGGTTTCCTCCAAGATTTAACTCTGTAGCTTCCTTTTGGTCCCATGTGTGCACTCACAGAACAGTTTGCCCTAGCATCCACCTTCCGGATAGACTAACTGCATCAGCTACCTCATTCAGTGCCTCATGCAATACCAGGGGTGTGTCCCTCTTGCTCCGTTTTCATACAGGCCAGGTCTTATGTTAATATGTCCATCCTTCACCCCCTTAGGCAGTAGGTTGGGACACTGAGACTTAATAATATGTCAGGGATGTTCTTGAGATCTCAACACACCTCCTTGAAAGTCTCAAACAGGCAAGGAAAGGATGTCGGTGGGAAGGCAAAGAAAGCTTCCCACCGGCTGCTCCTGGAGCCGAGTTCCATCAGTTTTCTGAATGGTAGACAATTTTATTTTCATGGTTGTCTTTCTTCCCTGTCACTTTGCTTTAAGTGAAATGCCAAGCAGGAAAGCCAAAGCCTGAGTTTTATAAGAGGAGCACCCTTAATGCACTTTGTCTACAGCTTTCACTTACTGTTTTGTCACTATCTCGAATATGACTTTGAAAGAACCCACGTTCAATTTAAAAAATAAATCCTGCCATATTGATTGAAGAACACACCATGGATGGATCTTCTGAAATAATGGCTAATGCCAACCCCCCAATAATTCATATTTGACATTGAAATAAATTATAGGGATTTTCTACTGCTGATTTGTTTCCTGTTCATAATGCTATTGGGGTTGGTTTGTTTGCTCATTGGTGGTTGGGGTTTTGTTCTCTTTTCTCTAGTTTTATTATTAGCTGCATTTACAAAACAGGCAGGGGAATCAGCTGTGGAACTGAAATTTTGCTACAAGAAACCCATGTATGGATAACCTAGTTCATTTCCCAGGCCAGCTCCCTCACCTCACCTGGACAGCCCTGAGTTTTACCTGTTCCTTTTTATTCCCCCTTAGAAAAAGGATCAAGTTGCTCAGTTCCCAGCCTGCTAAAGCTGCTCTCCAAGAAGTTTAAAAAAGAACAATGTTTCTAGTAACTACTTCACTTCATGGTTTTTCCACTGTCTTCTTGTGTGACTTTGGCCAGGGGCATGCTCTCTCTCTCTTATCATGAAGAGTGTATGGTTCCCTGGGATCTCAAATTTTTAAAAAACTGAGATAAATATTATACAAAAATTTCATTTGTTAATGATTTGCCTACTTTTGAAAAACTAATGGAATTTTTGTTTCTTATCCAGGTATACTGTGATGTCAGGAACACCTGAAAAAATTTTAGAGCATTTTCTAGAAACAATACGCCTTGAGCCAGCTTTAAATGAAGCAACAGGTATATGCATAGAACAGTTTTGTGTGTCCATTAAATCCAGGCATGGCATTGTTTCTTTAAAAAAATCCTGAATTTATTCTCAGTGTGTATTTCCTGAGCAACTTTAGAAGGGGCTTATGTGTATCAGTGTGTGAAGAGCCTCCCTGTGTGGCCAGATGGGGACCAATCCTTCTGCCTCTCCTCTGCCCTCTGCATTCCTGGCTGTTCTGTAAATAACTCCACCTCTTTCCTACATACGTTATCATTCAAATCCACCTTCTGTACACGTCTATCGGGTTTATCATTTAAATCCTACCTACTCCCATAAAGCAGTGGTCCCCAACCTTTTGGCACTAGAAACCAGTTTCATGGAAGACACTTTTGCCACAGACTGGGGTGTGGTGTGGTGGAGTGGGGTGTCATTGGTGGGGGGAGGAGGGTGTGGAGCTCAGGCAGTGATACCCATTGCCTAACAAGCCACGGACCAGTACTGGGTCACAGCCCGGGGATTGGGGACCACAGCCATGTCTTTGAAGCTGTCTACATAAGAGCCACAGCTTTGTGCCAATTGGGAGTGAAATGGTTCTCTCTGCGACTGGCCCCTGTGTAACTAACCCCCCTCTGTTTCAGTTTGCTAGGGCTGCCATAAAAATACTACAAACTCGGTAGCTCAAACAACAGAATCTTTTTGTCCCACCATTCTGGAGACGAGAAGTCTGAAATGAAGGTGACGGTAGCCTTCTGAGGGCTATGAGGGGGAATCTATTCCAGGCCTCTCTTCGGGCTTCTGGTGGTTTGCTGGCGATCTTTGGCATGCCTTGGCTTGTAGGGCCATCAGCCCGATCTCTGCCGTCGTGTTCACATGGCGTCTCCCTCCCTGTGACTCTTCACATCTTCTCCCTCCATGCGTGCCTGTCCCTGTGTCCAAATCCACCCCCTTTTGTAAGGACACCGGTCATATTTGATTAGGGCCCACACCAATAAGCTCACCTTAGCTCAACCACAACTGCAAAGACCCTGTCTTCAAATAAGGTCACATTCTGAGATACTGAAGGTTAGTTCTTCAACATATCTTTTGCGGGGGATAAAATTTAACACGTAACACCTCCTTGCAACGAGCCAGTCTTGTTACCCAAACACAGAGATTTGAGGGTGAATAAAACCAATCTCACAAACAAATCTCTGAACTAAGTGTTCAGAGTTATGACACTGTTTGGTACTTTGGTTATCACTTTGTATATGACTTTCTAACATTCCACATTTTAAAAAAATATCCTATGTTATTGACTTGTGGCTCAGAATAACGTCATGGGTTAATACTTTAAGCATCCTGAGCTCCATAGAAAACCATTTCTCACTAAAATAAGTTTAGAGATTTATCTCAAAAAGTTAGTGGTAGTTCAAAATCCATTTTCATAATTGACCTTTGCAATATACTCAAGGTGAAGATATCATTATTATTATTATATACCTCCTAAAAGTATTTTACCACTGACTTCTTATTTTATCTCCTCATTCCAGTTTCTCATTTTATAAATAGATTACCTGAGTATTTTTATGTAGCAAATTAATTAAGGAGTAGTCGATATAATAGCCAGGATTTCTGGCTCTAGGCCAGTTACTTTGAGCCCAGTATTTGATGAGTATCTTGTTGGGCAGGCACTAAGCTAAGGCTTTGGACTAGGCAGAGTGAACAGGGAATCACCCTCCTGTCCTCAGGAAACTTATAATCTGTTGTAAACAAAAAGGAATGTGCAAATAACTTGAATATAAGGCTGAATATGGTTATTGCTTCAGGGGCACTACCTGGCCAAGGGATCTGGGAAAGTATCATGGAAGACACAGCTTTTGATGTGGCCCTGAAGGAAGACTAGTAACAGTTACTTGAGAAGGGGATGAAGCCTTCTGTACTTAGGAACAGCATTAGTACTGACCAGAAACAGGCTAGGAAGAGCAAGTGGACTGGTTTTTGCTGGACTGTAGTATACCTAAGTGGGAAAAGGAAGGTAAGGTCTAAGAATTTGGGGTGTAGACCTTGAAGGGTCTTACCAAGTAAAGCTAAGCATTAGGGAGTGGTTGGAGATGTCTGAGCAAGGAGAATGTGTAAGAGCTTTGCTAGAGAAAGGTCACTCTGTATTTAGGATGTAGAAACTCTTCAAGAACCAGTTAGGAGGGACTGGCTGCTTCCCAGAGCCATACATAACCTCAAAGAAACCAAATTTCCAGGACCTTAGGTCAGAAAAAAATGCAGCTGACTTTTCCCCTCTAATTAACTGTTTGCCCAGAATGTGTGACTGCATAAAGCAAGAAACAGCATTTCCCCTAATGTGAGGATTATCTCAAAAGGAAGATTCTAGCACATTAGAGACTATGGCATCTAAGGAAAGATCTATAGGATCTTTACTACCCATGAAGGGCAAATGTACCCTTCATTTTAAAGTCACCTCTAAAAGAGATGGGGGCTAGATTATCATTGCTTCTTAAACAAAAGCATTGAAGCCTAAAAATCAGTGTATTTGAGGGCTGGCGTGTGGGATGTGATCTTTGACCCTTCCATTTTTGATGTTAGAGATGAGGCTAACATCATAATTTAATATCAAACTTCATTCCCTGAAGTCTTTCTGATTGTTTTATTTTACAAGTAATGTGTATAGCTTGAAGATAAAGAACAAATCAGCATCTTTCTCATAATTCAAAAATACAAATATACCCCACTACTATCCTGGACACTAAAAACAATCCTAAAATAGGTCCACGAAATTTGAGGATACAGTGGAGTGGGAGACCCTTGCTATTTGTAGATTTTACAATTCAGTGAGAAATCTCAGAATTGTAGTGAAATCTGTTTATACTGTAGAAATGATTACACCACTGGATTTGACATTCTCTTGATTTACCAAGACATCTATTTTCTTCTAAGACTCTTAGTTTCCTAGACTTTTACGGCCAATATTAGTCACTGAGGGACTTGGGAAATCATTTTCTAGCAGGAAATGATTACAGGGAGTTGTGCACACGAGTAAAGGGCACATGGAAATGTGAGTGCTGGGTGGGAGCGTGCTGGGTGACCGCCTCCCCAGCCTTGGAGCACCCCGGTCACCCCTCTGCTTTAGGGAAAGTTAAACTACAGTATAGCACAGCTTTCTGTGTGGTGTATAAGCAAGCATGACCCCCCCCCCTCAGAGAATATATAAAACATATCAGGGTGACTCTAGATGTGAGAATCAGACAAGCCAAAGTCTTTTTGTGCTTACCAAGTTCCATGTAACTTCTGTCTGGCACCATCTCTGCTTCTTCTCCTGCTTAGTACAATAGGACTGATGGGTCTGGTGACACTGAGTCCTGACAGTTTGGGACCACACTCATTACTTATATTTAGATGAGGATTATCCCTACACCCGTAGTCACTGAATCAAACTTTGCCTGTATAAATTCATTAAAGATAGGGACTCCGGAAATCTAATTTATAGAGTGAAAATTTGCATAGTCCTCACCATTTTCTATTTGAAAAGTTATGCCAATTTCACAATCTCAGCCAGTGTGGTTCAGTTTTTGACTGGAAATTCCCATGGCCTCTTGGGTTCCAAGTTTCAGTAAGCATAGTCCTGAGGCTTGTGGGTTTGTCTTCATGTGCTCTCCCATCCAGCTGGCTAGAGAGTGCAGTCTTTGCAGTGAAGAACCAGCATCAAATTCAGTGACGAAGTCTATGAAGCTTGTCTTTGAGACCTGCCTTATTTCCCTTGCCATCCCTCTGCTTACCTACCTGCAAAATAGCTTCAAAGCTTTGCAACCAGCCTGAGCAACAGTGAAACCCCATCTCTACCCAAAATAGCAAAAAATTAGCCAGCCATGGTGGCATGCACTTGTAGTCCCAGTTACTCGGGAGGGTGAGACAAAGGATCACTTGAACACAGGAGTTTGAGGTTGCAGTGAGCTATGATGATGCCACTGTACTCTAGAGCCAGGGTGACAGAGAGGCTCTGTCTCAAAAAAAAAAAAGTAGCTTCAAAGATAGGACCATTTTAATCTCCTGATGGCTTTTGTTTGTCTCTAGTTGCTACTCACAGACTTTGTCTTGTCTATTTTTGTTGCTTTTTTCTCCCTCGCCAATTCTCTGCTCTTACTATCTCCTTTTTCTATAATTCTATCACCCTCTCATCCTTCATTGCTCCTTCTGGAAATAGGAGATAAAAAAAGAGATAAAGGAAAAATATATTAAAAAATAAACTTGGTATATAAGTAGACAAAGAAATGACCATATCCTAATTCTGCATATATGGTACTGCCTATATGTGACTCTTTAATTATATATGTTTTTAATTTTTTTTGCAGCTAAGGTACCTAGTGCCATTCATACAAAGCTGTCCCTTTTTAAAATATTATACTTTTTGTCCATTGTCCCCAGAAATTAATTTTTTATCTCAAACTCTGTCAACATCATTGTTTTTATAAGAAGTGCTTCACGATGGAAATGTGAGTGCTGGGGTGGGGAGCGGTGCGGGGTTTGACGCTCCCCAGCCCTTGGAGCACCCCCGGTCACCCCTCTGCTTTAGGGAAAGTTAAACTACAGTATAGCACAGCTTTCGGTGGTGTATAAGCAAGCATGCCCCCCCCTCAGAGAATATATAAAACATATCAGGGTGACTCTAGATGTGAGAATCAGACAAGCCAAAGTCTTTTGTGCTTTACAAGTTCCATGTAACTTCTGTCTGGCACCATCTCTGCTTCTTCTCCTGCTTAGTACATAGGACTGATGGGTCTGGTGACACTGAGTCCTGACAGTTTGGGACCACACTCATACTTATATTTAGATGAGGATTATCCCTACACCCGTATCACTGAATCAAATTTTGCCTGTAAAATTCATTAAAGATAGGGACTCCGGAAATCTAATTATAGAGTGAATATTTGCATAGTCCTCACATTTTCTATTTGAAAAGTTATGCCAATTCACAATCTCAGCCAGTGTGGTTCAGTTTTTGACTGGAAATTCCCATGGCCTCTTGGGTTCCAAGTTTCAGTAAGCATAGTCCTGAGCTTGCTGTGGTTTGTCTTCATGTGCTTCCCATCCAGCTGGCTGGAGAGTGCAGTCTTTGCAGTGAAGAACCAGCATCAAATTCAGTGACGAAGTCTATGAAGCTTGTCTTTGAGACCTGCCTTATTTCCTTGCCATCCCTCTGCTTACCTACCTGCAAAATAGCTTCAAAGCTTTGCACCAGCCTGAGCAACAGTGGAAACCCCATCTCTACCCAAAATAGCAAAAATTAGCCAGCCATGTGGCATGCACTTGTAGTCCCAGTACTCGGGAGGGTGAGACAAAGATCACTTGAACACAGGAGTTTGAGGTTGCAGTGAGCTATGATGATGCCACTGTACTCTAGAGCCAGGGTACAGAGAGGCTCTGTCTCAAA